ATCCCCCAGTATTCACGGTGGGAGAGGGCATCAGATAGACTTGGGAACAGGTGCTCCCACATGGTGGTCATACGCTCTCTTCTGCCATGAATACGTGGAGGATCCTTTCTTTTCACGGGTAGGGGTTGGGGGGCAGCAGTCCCCTGCATTAAACGATATAGTGACCGATTCTGAGTATATTACTCCTATCTTACTCCACAATTTCCCTGGAGCATTTCAGGCCCTCTCCTGCTATCAGGACCAAGAATGTGGGGGTTAGAATGGTTTCTGCACAATAGTTTTTATACATTTGGAAACTAGAGAGTGAGAGGAATGCAACGATAACAAAATCATGTTCGTTTGTTGGAATTATTTTTAAAAATTAACGCTACACCTGAACCCAGAGAAGGCTAGGCCAGAGGCTACTCTTATACTTATAATATATAGCTAAGCCTAGGCCTAAACAGTACATGGTGCATTTCCACAATCCTGGCTAATTCTAACTAAATCCTTAGGCCTTATCAGACTTGTGTTCAAACAGATCATCAAGCCGATTGTTTTGCAGTCTAATCACGAAACAGACAAATTTTGGTTAAAGTTACTGGATAAAATATTTAAAGCAACGTGCTTAGATAGAGGAAAATATAGCTGCAGCAGCCTTATATTTACCAGAAAATGCAAAATACAGAAATTTTGATATTGCCGTACAAACCTACATTGGGCTGTTCTAAGTGACCGTGGATGGTCAAAGGCGAAAAAAAAGTTTCCTGGGTTAATGTTACCAAGAGTGGTGTACACATAGAGGGAAATGGACATATATCTTATAGAGCAAAAGATATAGAGTCATAAACAATACATGGAAAGCTAATGTGGCCTCATATTTACTGCAAAATGATGAAAGTACTTGCTACATATCACTGCTCAGAGACTAAGTCTGCAATGCCCTCACACAGCCAGAATTCATAATGTTCATTTACTATAAGTTGGTATGAATTGCTAATAAAAGGGGGTTATAATGGGGGGTCTTGCCCCCTGTCTTGGAAATGAATAGAAGTTAGGAAAGGTTAGGTTTGGGACTAAGTCTTCGGAGGGTGTGTCACTCTTGGTAACAAATATTGTATCCTGTTGCAGGTGCAACAGGAAACATCTTGGGTTGTGCATTTCATCGCAGGAATGCTCTGGTCATGTGAATCATCAGACTGTGTAGCTACACTGTTCTGCCAGAACAAAGTTTAGGCACTGTTGACCATCATATGTCCATCAAAACGGTCACGTAGAACAATGTACACAGGTCTGTATGGGGATTTTAAAATTTCAATCTTTTGTCACATATCTTGATCAGACTACAAAACAACCGGCATAGTAATTTGTAATTTGCCTGTTGAAACCAAAAATTCTGATGGCTATGAATGGTAAGGAACTTCAACATCATAAATAAAAAAGGAATTTTGATTTTCTGATAACTAAAACAAAAGCTTGTAAATTACACAAATAATTAGATCTGATATCTCTTGATGCACTCTCATTGGCTAAACATGGTGAGAGTATTAGCTCCACCCCCTTTCTTGACCCCAACAATTTGTGTGATATTTTATGGTAAGTGTTTTTTGTTATATTTTCTTTGAAGATTATTCAATGATAACGAAGGAAAAAAAAAGAAACCAAGAAAAAATATATATATTTAATATATGCAACAATTAAATGTGATACGGTGGGGCTTAGCTCAGAAATTGACAACTTTTTTACTTTTATTTCAGGACCTTTCAGAAAGGGTGCCCTTTTATGATAAGAGTGAAGGCAACTGATGATGGAGATTATTTGATGATATCCAGTATATCTGGAAATCACAATCATGCCCTTAACAAGGTATGTTCCTGCAAATTTGAATTTTAAAAACTACATGTAAGCTTATCAATGTCAAATTCAGCCAAGCCCAAGCCACAATTCTCCCTGCATTGCTTTCCTCAAAGGATGACTAGTTGCTACTGTAATTGAGGGAGTGTGGTTCTTTTACATACAGTTGAGTTCAGTTAATTGAGTTAGACTACCAAGCAAGTGGACTGCATTCTGGATACTAATGTAGGGATGTTAAAGGGTGTCTTGTTTGGGCCATGACTAAGTGATCCAGGTTAACAGTGGAGTCCTGTTACAAGAGTGGTCTTTAATTGGCTTCGGCATCCTACTGAATAATTTTTTTGTCTTTTTTTTCTGCCATTTTTGTGTAAGGTTATTTGATTCCAGTGTCTTTAAGGGCTAAGGGACTGACAAGTACTGTCCTTAATAGGGAGATATCCATATGGCAGAAGTCAAATTGAACAGAAATGGAATAAGATTGGTGTCCCCAGGCTCTTGACAGAATTATCCATTAAAGGAGATTGCACTGTATTTGATGTGTCTTTGACAGGAATCCTATGACCACCTGCCAAGTGTTCGCAAGTTGGATGCTGATGACAGGAAGATGGCGGAACAAATGTTGGCTATGAAAGTAGACAAGAAAGTTGTGCAGAATCACTTGATTCAGAAAACTCAGAAACAAGTTCTCTTATATGATCTGCACAACATTGCTGCAGCATATAATAAGAGCAAAGGAGATTGTGATAGCTTACCAAAAGAGATGAAGAAGAAAGGAAATATCTTGAAATGAAAGAAGGAAATGGCTTGCCAAAAGAGATGAAGAAGGATGTAGGTAGGTTTATTATATACATATCATGAGTAGTAAAAGAGTGCTGTCCTATTGAAAAGTAACTTCTGATTCATTCATACCAGGTATATTTCCAGAGCAGTATCTTCAGTCAACAGGTATTCCAGAACAGTATGAGTTGCCTATTCTTTTATTCCTTGGTATAGGTATTCATTAGTTTGTTGAGTTGAGCTCTGGATTTTATTTCAGAAAATCATATATGCCCTGTAATTTTCACTTGAAGGTTATGGTTACAGTGTGTTTATTACTTAAAATCACGTCAGATGAGGTGGTATCACTTCTTAACATACTTCAGCAGAAGAGGTTGGGCATACCTGTGGAGTGCTGTGCAATAACTTAAGGAGACTGAATGAGAATGTCATACATGCATAGAGACACTGAGGGATGGACTAAATGTTGGATGTGATGTTTGTTTGGAATGGTATCTGTCATATGTAGGACTCTCATCAAAGGCAAATGTTTGGATCTGCAGGGTATGCCACTCTGTATGAGCATGTGGAATTTAGTATACATGTACAGTATACCGTGAGGCATACATTTACTGTACTAGATGTTTCTTTTCCTTTCTTTTTGTTTTTAAAATTTCATGTATACATTCCTGTTGCCATTGACCCTTTTGAGGGCCATAAGTTGTTTAGTTTTTTAGTGATGATTATTCATCCAAATAGTCAAGTAGTAGCACTGGCACTATTAATAAAAAAGTAGTGTAATTTGTAAAAAAGTTCTATAGTAATTTATAAAGAAGGGAATCTGTGTTTTAAAATGAAGTCTGTTTTTTTATGCATGCCATATCTATCAACCTGTGGGCTGCTGCAGACATTCATCTTAGTATATGATTTACAATTTTTTTTATTTTTATTTATGGAACCATTCCATTTGATGTGTGAATTTTCCTCAGGCATTTTAATACATGAATGTTTAACTATGAAGTTTATACAAATTTATATTTCTTTCCATTCCAGATCAACACAAAAGATCAGGACCCTCTACTCGAACAACAGATGGAATGGTAGCTCTGTCATGGAATAACCACAGTGCGACTTTCTGCCACATGCTTTCAGCCTTTAGACAGAAGGTAGTGACTAATTAGTATGAATTATGCAATTACTGAATGGAGAGAAAGAGAGAGAGAGCAGGTGAGAGGGAGGGAGAAAGAAGGCAGGAGGGAGTGAAAGGGATACTTGTAATGTTACTAATTATATCTGAAAAATTGGTCAATTTCCTTACTACATTTAAGTTTTTGTTTTTTCAATGAGTTCTTGTACAATATTTAATTGATTTCTTGATTTCAGGACAAATACACAGATGCAATGTTGGCTTGTGAAGGCAAATTCTACCCTGTGCACAAACTTGTTCTCTCCACCTGCAGTCAGTATTTTGAGGAGATGTTTGACCACACACTTGGAAAGCACCCCATAGTCCTGTTACAAGATGTCAAATGTGATGAAATAGAGGCCCTACTGAATTTCATGTATGTTGGCATTGTGAGTGTTGCACAGAAGGATCTTACTCGTTTTTTCAAGGTAGCAGAGCTGTTGCAGATTAAAGGTTTAGCTGTGGCAGGTGAAGTGCAAAGAGACAAGAATACATTGTCAAGTTCTAACAGTAGAAATGCCAGGCGAAGCCCCCAGTCAAGAGAGTTTGTTGATTCTACTGATGGCAGAGGGAGTCCACACCCAAAGAGAAGGAAACAAGATGACACTAGCTCACCATCACCCATGTTATCCTCACATTCCAAAGACAGTGAAGAACGTTTAGATTATAGGACATCAGACGACAGATCTAGAATAGAGTTGCATCTAGAGCAGGTTAGAGGCAGTGAGTCTGAGACAGAGTCCCTCCATCACAAAGGATCTACAACTAGTAATTCAGTGCCTGAGGAGTCTAACATGCTTTCAGGTGTGAAGTTACAAGAACAGTCAGCCACAAGGAATCCCTCCATGGTTAGTGTTATTAATTCTCCAATGTTAATTTCACACACAAATGAATGTGAACCATTCTTATTACTGGCAAGACTTGTTTTTTATCATTATGTCATGAGATATGCTTTTCTTTATTTTACAGGATATAAGTGAAAATATGATCTACATTAAAGAGGAAGTGTGGGAAGATCCTGCTATAGTCATTAAAGAGGAAGTGTGGGAAGATCCAGAACTAAGTCACAATAACTCCATCGACCCAAGTTTCACTTATAGCATAGCCTCAGATAGTGCTGACCCAGACAGTCATGATGGAGTTCATGAGGAGCACACAGGCACATCTAAGGAGTTCAGTTATCCAGGTGTTCCAGTGCAGGGATCTCAGGAACTAGCAGAAACGGTTGTTGAGGCATTGGCAGGACCATCAGGCATGCAGGAGGTATATGAGTTTTTTTGTGTTCCTCGTCTTCTGCTCCTACATTTTCCTTCTCTTTCCTCTTTATGACAATTGTGACTTTCCCCTTCTTTTTCTCATACTTATCTATCTCAGTCTTTTCACCTTTTCCTTTTCCTTTCTAATCTTCTACTTTAGTCTTTTACCTCCTCCCCTCTGCATCTCCTCCCTCATCTTTCACCTCCTCCTTCTCTTTCTTTCCTCTTCAGTCTTTTCTGGGTTTCTCTTTCCCCACAGATTCAAATTTTACATCATGATTTATCCCACTCTTGAATGACGTCTTCTCCTCCAGTGTTTTTTTAACCTCCATGTTCAACTTTCTTTTTTCTCACAGATTTCAGTTGCACACCATAATTTTCACCACTCTAGAATAATGTCTTTTTTTTTCCCTCCAACAGTGGCATAGCCACAGTTGAGAACCAGCATAAACGGAAGTCCACCGTTGTCAGAGCATCCACAGGCACTACAGATGGTAAGTGTTGTGTTCTTTTTATATTTCGAACAGAGTCAGCTGCCATTCAGGCTTTTTCTTTTTTCTTTGTTTTCATATGGATATTTATCTGATATGAGTTTCAAGTAAGAATTATTCCTTTGATTTATCATCCTTGTTATTTTGGTTTCAGTTTTTACCACTGAGTCCGTTTTTTTCTTTTAGTTAAGTTAAGTTAAGTTAAGTTGTTCAAGTGTCAGTACATTTATAAAACTGAAAGGCTGTTCCTCTTGTAGGTAATTCTAAATATTTTTGAAAATAATATGATTCACATAGGTATGTACTGTTTATTCACAAGTGGCAAGGCTGGTTGAGTTTTCTTTATTTTAAGGTACTGATTTATTTCTTGCTAACATAGTTAAGCTTTTTTATGTCCTGTTTTGATTTAAGTATTTTTGTTTATGCAACAGAAGAGTAGAATATTATATTATGTAATGTAATAGTACATGAAGTGAGGTAACTCTTTTTATTGAAATAATAAGGAAGTTTAAATACAGTTATTTATACTGTACTTTTGCTTGTATTTTGTTCATTTAATATTTTGTTCACATGTTACACCTTAAATCATATTCTATGTGACTGCACTGTTTTAGTCATGTGATTCTGATATACAGTGGTTACATTATGCCTGAATTCATATTCTGTGTGATTGCAAGGTAGAAGTTGCTTCATTTTGATGAAAAATGGGATGATGATTGGAAACACAAATATTTAAGAAATGCACACATGCTCACTCACTCACTCACTCACTCACTCACTCACTCACTCACTCACTCACTCACTCACTCACTCACTCACTCACTCACTCACTCACTCACTCACTCACTCACACACACACACACACACACACACACACACACACACACACACACACACACACACACACACACACACACACACACACACACACACACACACACACACACACACCTGTCAAGGAATATATTTTTGTCTTCCAAAAGTGGTAACTGAATAGGTAATGTAATTATCTTCATATGTGACCATGTAGAATCTAAAAGTTATCTGGAAAAAGGAAGTATTGTAGATATTTCTATAGAAATTATTCATTATTATTATTATTATTTTATTATTATTTTTTTTTTTTAGTAATTGATATCATGCATTTATCTCTCTTTCCCAAGCCTACTATAAATCAATAGTGAACATGATGGGAAACAACATGCTACTGTTTTTAGTGCACATGTAATTATTGGTTTAAATGAATGTGTTTTGAGAGCAATCTGCTGCAAGGAATACATCTCTACCCTCCATGTTAGGCCAGAGATATTAATACTATTTCTTTACATGCCCTTAAGTAAGATGGTCATATCCGACAGGGTGGACTCGAGGCGGGGAGTGAGGGAGGCGGAAGGGCCACACCTCAGAGGTGCAGGATGAGAGCCTTGAGCAGCAGCGCCAAGCAACCCAAGTGTCCATATTGTTCCTATTTCACTGATAGGAAACCCCACTATACTGTATGAAAGTACTGCAATGGTAAGGAAAAGAAAACATATGATTATTGATAATAGGCTCCAGTAATAGGTTGTGATAGGAAAATGTAATGTTATGTCTTTTTTAGTTGGTGCATCAGAAAGGTTAATTTTATATATTTTGCTAATCCAAAGGAAGTTGGAATTATTTTTTCCACACATTTGTTGTTTGTGCCTTTTTTTAAGATCATGTATTGGGTTGTTAAGATTATCATGTGGTTGAAAAACATCAGAATGCATTTACGAAGCTTTAGTTCTATGATTTTTTTTTATCTTTCCCTTATTTCAAGATGCTCTTCATAATTTTGGAGGATGTAATGCTGTTGCACACATGAATACCTGATTATAGAAAGAGGAAGAAAATTACTTGCTTGTGAGGGCCAGTTAGATCTCAATTATAATAACTAATAGTAGCTTTGAGATTGGCATTTATTCAGGCTTAGGTCAGTGCATACTTGTGCTGTTGCAAGTACTGTTCATACACATATAATTACTTTAATATACATTGCAGATTCATAGGCCTTTTGTTTTTCTACATAGATCTGGATAAGTTTGAATATTTGTTTCTTTGTATGATAGATACTTGATAACAAATGTTTAATTAGTGAATCATAACAGCTAACTGAAATGTCAGATTATCTTTATATTTAATCACCTTTGAATTTCCAATTGTGTAATTCCTATGTTCTGAAACATGCTTAGAGGGTTACTCTTTATTTTTTGCCCATTTATATTTAGCGATGCTGTGATTAGTATAAGTGAAATATGTTCTGAAAGACTGTAAAATTTACTTCTTGTGGTAAATATATGTGAATATATGTTTTATTCATATGAAAGTACAATTCTTTTTACAAATATGGTTGTTTGTATCGAAACCTTACAAATTGTGAGTACTAAAAGCCTATGTAAATTATATAGTTATTTTAATAAAAAAAATATTCATCAAATCTGTTTTATATTTTCATCATTTGCATAGATGCTAATATGGAAGATTTTTTTTTCTTTCTTTTAGGTTTTGACTATTAATCCAATAGATGATTAATTTACTTTATTTAAGAATTTCCTTGTGTTAAGTAAAATCTAAGGTGCTGTTGAAACACTGTATACTCTGTGTGTGTGTGTGTGGGTGGGGGGGGCATGTGAATGTAGGCATGTGTGTGTGTGAACTACAATAGTAAGTGTACAACAATCTGTGGCATGCACTTTTCAAGCAAAAAAAATTATAATAGCTCAATAACTTTCTGAGTGGCAGTATGTTAATGTATGATTTCTGGCATAAAACATACTAGAAATAGACTGAAAGGGCAGATTTCGAAAACTGATCGGTGGCTAGAGTCTTGGAGTTGTAGTGGAAGTCAAAATTCATGAAGATAGTAATGGAAAATGTGAGATGTGATGTTTTGTGGCAGCATAGTTTTATCATGCTGAGGTAAAATTTACTGAAATATACTGAAAAATATTGGTTCAAAATATTTGTGTGTGTGTGTGTGTGTGTGTGTCTGTGTCTGTTAAATATATCTATTTGTTTGTGTGGATACTTATAGATAAATTTATATGAATATTTATATAAGGAGATGTAGATAGGTATTGATACATGATTTGGGAAAGCACACAATTATCATTTGGACTGTTGTGAAAGTTGATATAATGAAGCCCTGGAAAAATAATATAATTAGTAATTCACCTAAAATAAGACCTTGCTATTTGCCAGTTATTAAGGTTGAATAAAGAAGGTAAGACAAAAACAGCCTTTCTCTCTCTCTCTCTCTCTCTCTCTCTTCTCTCTCTCTCTCCTCTCTCTCTCTCTCTCTCTCTCTCTCTCTCTCTCTCTCTCTTCTCTCTCTCTCTCTCTCACTTTCTCTCTCTCTCTCTCACTTCTCTCTCTCTCTCTCTCTCTCTCTCTCTCTCTCTCTCTCTCTCTCTCTCTCTCTCTCTCTCTTCTCTCTCTCTCTCTCTCTTCTCTCTCTCTCTCTCACTCTCTCTCTCTCTCTCTCTCTCACTCTCTCTCTCTCTCTCTCTCTCTCTCTCTCTCTCTCTCTCTCTCTCTCTCTCTCTCTCTCTCTCTCTCTCTCTCTCTCTCCTCTCTCTCTCTCTCTCTCTCTCTCTCTCTCTCTCTCTCTCTCTCTCTCTCTCTCTCTCTCTCTCTCTCTCTCTCTCTCTCTCTCTCTCTCTCTCTCTCTCTCTCTCTCTCTCTCTCTCTCTCTCTCTCTCTCTCTCTCTCTCTCTCTCTCTCTCTCTCTCTCTCTCTCTCTCTCTCTCTCTCTCTCACACATCATCCTGTCACCATAGTGTGCAGACGTGTTGTGTGACCTCTTGTGACCTTGACCTGTCCTTACGGGATTTGTGTTACCTTGACTATTAGGTCTTCATAGACCTGCCAGCTGTGGATTGCTGCAGTGCGCGATAATGTTCACATGATCATTTGATCTGAATCTAAAGTGATCTAAATATCATATAGTGAAGTAAAATAAGTGAAAAAACTACGTACGGACACAGATGTGCTGTGTGGGCGCGGCGTAAGCGGCCCGTGTGTGCACCTGGGGTTTGCACCCCGACCTCAAACGAAACAATGACAGACACGCCCATGGAAACCGAGGATAGATATGGTGTCCTCCGTGAGGAAGATATCAGTGGCCTCCCCCAGGAACCAATAAAGAAAAAGGCAAAAAGACTACTACCTGACTCTGTAGAAATCACGCCCCCTGGACACCTGTGCGCACATTTTAAAGCCGACACAAAGCTTCGGACACACGGGGATAAATATCGCTGGGTATCCCAGGCTTTAAAATTGGACCCATACAACAAGACAAAAGGGTCCATTGATTGGGAGAACAATGTGTTTGTGAGATGTAAAAATGAACAAATTCTTGCCCACATAACCACTGCCGGTGCAGGTGGCGAAATTTTAGAAAAGGCGAAAGTGTATGGAAAAGGCAAGTGCACAAATGTTATTGTGTTCGACGTCCCAAGGGAAATCGAAATAGAAGAAATGACGTCTTACAATGAACGCGTCGTACATGCCAAACGCATGAAGGTCAATGGATTGATGACCCAGAGAGTCATCATAACATATGAGGGGAGGTAATCCCCAAAACTATCAAAATGGTGGAGGGCATGGCACCCTTTAGATGTGCCATCTTCAAATCTCTGACCCCGTTTTGCTCCCATTGCTCAAAGTGGGGACACGGGGCACGTGCGTGTCCACGAGAGGCACCGCGGTGCCGATACTGCGCTCTTTCGCATGAAAGCTCAGAGTGCGCAGAGAAAATTTCTGAAGGTAAAATCATCCCTCGGAAATGTGTGAACTGTCGTCAGGAGCATAATGCCAACTCGCCATTATGCGCCTATTACCCGAAGGACAGAAGGGCAACACATGAAAGGAAGCAGGCAGCCCCTCCCCCCAATAAACCCCGCCCAGCCCCTCGTCTTAATGACGTGCGGGAATTCCCACACCTGCAGAGGTCAACTCTGAAAGCCTCTGCAAACAAAGCCATGGCACCGGCCACATCACCAGCTGCAGCACCTACTCCAGCTGCAACACCAACGACAGCTGCAGCTTCTACTCCAGTTGCAGCACCCACTCCAGCGCCAGCTGTAGCACCAGCTGCAGCTCCTGCTCCAGTGCCAGCTGCAGCACCGACGCCATCACCAGCTCCAGCTCCTCCCTCACCGCAGCAGGAAAAGCAAGAATCCAACAGGGAAATGAAAGATTTGATACAAATGTTGTTCAAGCAGATGGAGCAGATGATGTTCATGATGCAGCAACAGATGGTGCAGTTCCAGGAGAGGATTTTTGCGCTCTTCCTCGAGCAACGACAACATCCAGTGGGCCTTGGAAACGGTCAAGTGATGATCGATGGATCAAAATAATCTGTTAAAGTGCATTACCTGGAACATTAACAGTTTACAGAAACGCAAGGCGACCCTCGCTCAGTATCTTCACTCGGAAGATGTTGATGTGTGTTGCCTTCAGGAAGTTAGAACTGATGCTCGTTATGCAAAAATTGCAGGATACACATATCACGACAAACGTAATATTGCTAATCCTTCTACAAGAGGACTTGGTATTTTACATTAAAAAATAGTATCCCATCAAAAGTGATCGATGACAACCGTGACAATGCAAGTGCTGAATATCTTGGTGTTAAAATATTTCTTGGATAGGTAAGAACCATCACCATCATTAATGTATATAACCCACATGGTCAAACAAGTTGGTAACCTCATCACCCAACTCCAACCCAGAAAACCCTGTCAAACATAGGTCTTCATCCTCCAGAGGCAAACGAGCATATCACCTTAACAAAGATCCGGAAATAAAGCTACTTAGAAAGCTAATAAGGTCTACAGTAAATCAGCTAAAAAACCTGGGGAAAAAATCCCTACTTAGCTAGGGACCTTGTTTTCTTTAGTAAAAAACTTAATGAGATAATGACACAAAAGCGGGAAGAGAGATTGTATGCCTGGGCAGAATCGATTGACTCCACGAGCTCCATGAGTAATGTGTGGAGGGAAATCAATAAGATTAAAAGGCAATGCACACAATGTCACTCCCCACCTCATCCAGAAAGGGTAGCTTTGTCAATCCTCAGTAAATGCTGCGAAAACTCTTCTCTCGATAATCTTCCATTATCCATTCGTAGATGCTCCCTTAAGTCAAGACACAAAAATGAAATTAACTATCAGTGCCAACTTTTAGATGAGGCTGATGCACCATTTACAAGACACGAACTTCTTGCAGCCATTAAAACTAGCAAATCCACTGCACCTGGGGATGATGGAATCACTTACGACATCATTCGCCTCCTTGCAAAGGTACAGGTACAGGGAAGAAATCCTCTCCTTGATCTTTTCAACTTAACTTATTCTACAGGCATCTTGCCTACTTCCTGGAAACAAGCCACCATTATTCCTATCCCAAAACCAGGGTGTCCTGATGAATTTAGACCGATTTCTCTGACATCCTGTCTCTCTAAAACCTGTGAAAGGATCCTCCTCAATCGCCTGCTCCACCAGATCAAAGATCAAATTCACCCATCAGTCTTTGGTTTCCAAAAGGGGAAAGGAACACAAATGTGCCTGGCACAGTACCTCAATGGAAGTAATGCACAGTCTTCTTACTTCATAGATTTCAAGGGTGCATTTGACAGAGCTTCCCCTACTGCAATCCTCCATGAATTAACTCTCCTAGGAGTTAAGGGCAAGCTTCTGCTATGGATAAAGGATTATCTGTCTTTGAGAAGAGCAAGAGTATGTTACCAAGGCACCTACAGTAATTATGGTGAACTCGAGTTAGGAACTCCACAAGGAGGAGTTTTTGTTCCCCTTCACTATTTAACATTCTTATGCACTCTGTTTGCAAGCTTAATAGTGAGTTAGGAGACCTATGCAGCATCACATCCTATGCTGATGACATTCTCATTCAGATATTTGATAGGGGGGAGTATGTTCTTCAGGGATTCAGTAAAAAGTGCACTTCCCTTGGACTCGTAATCAACCCTGTCAAGACTAAGTATATTTCCAGATCAAACAAACTGTCATACATTCCAAGATTAGGTGGGCAAGTTATTGCAAAAACTGACACCTATAAGTATCTAGGTGTTATGGTGATTGCTCCCCACCTCATGTCCCGCAATTCCCGCTTCACTCGGGAAATCGTTCAAAACATCAGAGAATGCTGCCTGGAGCGCTTGACCTTTACAATTACATAAGTAAAGATACGTTAGTGCTTCCCTAAGAGTCCTAAGATTGATGTACATTTCCCTGTTAGGTCTACGATAGACTATGCGAGCCCGGTTCTTAGTATGTTGCCACAAAATGTTCTCAGACCCCTTGAAATCTTACAGAACAAGGCCATGAGAGTCATTTTGGGTTGCCCAATAACTGCTAAAGTTCTTGTCATGAGGAAAGAGCTTGATCTCCCGTTAGTTCA